TGGTCTTTTCAGCGTTCGGTTGGGGCTCTCAAGAGTCAGTTCATCTAATTGGCTCACTTTGTAAGTAACGTTTGTTCTAGTCGTTCTTGTGATATATATATATATATATATATATATATATATAGTTGTATTCGGTTTCTTTCTTAAACCAATAGTAACCCTCTCGATCTTAATCTATTCTGGAACTGGAGACCTCTTTGTCTCGCTCCAAGCGTTCGTTGTGGTTCTGAGTTAAGATTGAACGTTCGGTCAGTAGTTTAGTTTATAGTAAGGTGGTTGTTCGATCACCTTCCCTTTTTTTTTTAGTATGACCGTTCGGTATTGGTTTTTGTAAACCGTTCGGTCAGAATTGTACCCCTGTTCAATTTTATTTTCTCGTACTGCTTTGTAAGGCCGTTCGGCCATAACCGTACACTCTTCTTAGTGTAAGACTGATCTGTATATCATTAAATGTGATTATTCTATTACATAGTCTCAAGCTGTATTTTTGGGATGTTACATGTTGCATTATTTGTTTTTTTATAATGTAATTATATGTGCTTATATTTTTTTTATATGAGAATTGCTATTAAGTTGGCCTTATAGTATCTCATTTGAGATTTAATACAAAATTATGTATTATCTTCAAGTTTTATGACAAAATTGAATTTTTTTAAAATTAATATAAGAAGAAACCGTATTAATTATTTATTGACTCTTGAATTGTCTAGTCAAACAATTTGAGAAGATTAATCATTTTTTCATAGTTTATTAGTGTATATATATATTTTAATATACATATCTTAAAATTCATTAATATTTGTCAATTGTGTTTTATATTGATCTTCGAGTGCATATTTTACCGTGGTTGATAATCACTTTCATTTAATATCCTAAAAACTACTGCAAAATGCTGGAAAAATTGTGAAATTTATTGTTTAAAATTGACATGTATCACTAAACTACACAAAGTTAATCTTCCTTAATGGGATAGGAACAAACCTTAAATACAAAAACGATTGAGATGATTATTCATTTAAAGATTAATGAAGTCAAATACCCTCAAAATTAAATAATATTTTTAAATCAGAAAGGGTATTTTGCCTTATATTTTTTAGTATTTATTTATTGTTTAGTGTTTCGGTTCTTGTTGAATCAAAGCAAAATACTAACCTTTATGTTTCGATTCATAATTGAAATAAAAAATCCACTTTTTTTTTATTAATATGCTTCAATTCTAGAATCAAAATTTAATATTTGAAATTACTATTGTCATATCTTTTCTTACATTAGTATAGTATATGAAGATAAAAATGATAATTTTAAGGTTTAATCATTTCCAACATCCCTATTTGTGCAGGATCGTCTCATATAGGTCCTCGTATTCTAAAGTCTCTCAAATTGGTCCTTAATTGTGAAAATTTAAATCAATTGAGACCTTCCCGTTAAGTTGGCTGAACGACGTTAAAAAAATTGATGCGTGGGTTGCTGAGATGACCAAATGGTACTGATGTGGCACACTACTATTGTTGACCTGACTTTGTTTTATTTATATATTTAAAAAAGTTAACTTTTTAAATCAAAACGCAACGTTTTTATTTTAGAATAACATATTAGTAGTTAGTTTTATTTAATTTCATTGTTGTCAGGGTGTGGAATTTGGGATAATTGAGAGAATAATTGGGATTTGAAGGAATCCCTAAATTTGAAGAAATCCCTAAATGCCTAATGAGAGCAAGGTTCGTCTTCGAGCTTGTTGAGCTTGTTATTGGAGGGTGTTTTGGTTCGACGCAGGTGGGTAGGTGGTGAACGTAGTTGTTCGAAGACGATGTTGAAGGAGCATTCTTGTTGTTCGTCGACATGCAATGTGTGGCGGAAGGAGAACTGTAATTTGTGTTCACCGATTTGCCACTGTGGGCTTAGATGTGCGATGAGAAAGGCTAAAACTTTGAAGAATCGTGACAAGCAATTTTGGGGATGCTCGAAGTATAAGGTATGATTTATTTCACGTTTGTATTATGTGGAAGTGTTTCTAAGAAGAGATTGTTGTTTATACAGAGTGGTGCTGAAGAGGGTGGTTGCAACTACTTCAAATGGTGCAATGATGTTGCGGAAGAGGAAAGGGGCACATGCTTGAAGTGTGAAGGAAACAAAGAAATTTTGGTGCACAATGAAGAAATGGATAGTAATAGGAAAATTTTAGTTAAGTTTGAGAAATCTTTGTTGTTTGTTTAAAAGTGGATGAAGGTCTTGATATTTTTGGTTTGTCTTTTATGTGTAATAAACACAATTTTAGTGTCAATGTTGATGACAATGGACTGATGTCTTGTAACTGTGTTGTAGCTTTCTTCCATTTCAATGAAAGTCAGACTTGTTATGAGTGACAAATTCAATTGTTGTTATGGAATGTGATGAGTAAAGAATGTTATTATCTTGAATTTGTTATGTTTTTATGAGTCTATATATTGGTATCATATCAGTGAAATCTTGTAGCTCAACCAGGGCATACACCTGTGTCATGCATATCTCAGATGGTGAAACCTGGCACACAAAACTATCATACACCTGCATCACATACCAACTAATTTTAGCATTAATGCAACTACATATTCAAGACTTAAACCTGGCACACGAAACTGTCATACACCTGCATCAGTTTGATTTTCTTTATGTTCTTTAGTCTTGGCACGAAAAACAGTGTTCATATGTTATACGAAGGTGGTTCAATTAATGTAGTTGTGTTGCATTGCTCAGGGTCACTTCACCAGGATGACATTGTCTATCAGTCATTGTCTATCTGTTGTTGCACTACCAAAACAAAAAGGAATTAGCTCCACACTAAAGATGCCAAATTCCACAACTTTTTCAAAAAATCTCCATCACCCAATAATAAGACATATATTGTTTTGATGCCCAAATATCTAGATAAACAAATATACGTGATGCACAACAAATATATCTGGACCGAGGTGTACAACAAATATAATTGTTGTATGTTCATTTCATTGATAACCAGTGCTGACAAAACCAATATAAAACATCAAAATATAGACTCAAAACCAGAATGCACTAGTACAAAAACAACATATAACGTCACGCGCTCAACGTCCAACCACTGAATAACCAACGTTAAGAATGAGCGGTGACATTTTTGTAAATAAATGCAATTATTAAACGTCTTTTACAATTGTAATTCGACGTAAAAGGATATAAAACTTCGAATGACTTTTAAATTCGACGTCAAAAGGTTAGTGAATTCAATAAAAATTTGAGCGGGAGATTGAAAATTCATTCACTTTATCTTAGCGTGCGATATCCTCTTCTCTTCTCAAACTTTTTTCGAACAAAGTTTGACGAGCATCACATGTAATTTTTCTTTCATTTGATACAAATGCAAGTTAATTAATTACTTTATGTATGATTTTTGTTTGTTTTAACCGATTATTTTTGTGTTCTTGTCCTTCATAGGTGCATTCTGCTTTCTTTCTCATTGTAACGAAACTTTATTCCGACGAATACATCTTTTGAAGGTTAGTTTTCTTTTTCGTTTTGAAGAACTTATTTGTTGAACTTGTTTGTNTAAACAAATATACGTGATGCACAACAAATATATCTGGACCGAGGTGTACAACAAATATAATTGTTGTATGTTCATTTCATTGATAACCAGTGCTGACAAAACCAATATAAAACATCAAAATATAGACTCAAAACCAGAATGCACTAGTACAAAAACAACATATAACGTCACGCGCTCAACGTCCAACCACTGAATAACCAACGTTAAGAATGAGCGGTGACATTTTTGTAAATAAATGCAATTATTAAACGTCTTTTACAATTGTAATTCGACGTAAAAGGATATAAAACTTCGAATGACTTTTAAATTCGACGTCAAAAGGTTAGTGAATTCAATAAAAATTTGAGCGGGAGATTGAAAATTCATTCACTTTATCTTAGCGTGCGATATCCTCTTCTCTTCTCAAACTTTTTTCGAACAAAGTTTGACGAGCATCACATGTAATTTTTCTTTCATTTGATACAAATGCAAGTTAATTAATTACTTTATGTATGATTTTTGTTTGTTTTAACCGATTATTTTTGTGTTCTTGTCCTTCATAGGTGCATTCTGCTTTCTTTCTCATTGTAACGAAACTTTATTCCGACGAATACATCTTTTGAAGGTTAGTTTTCTTTTTCGTTTTGAAGAACTTATTTGTTGAACTTGTTTGTTGTTATTTTTGTTGAACTTGTTTGTTGTTGTTGTTTAGTTGAACTTGTTTGTTGTTGTTGTTTGATTGAACTTGTTTGTTGTTTGCTATTATTGTTTGTTGTTGATACTACACTACACGTTCATAGTTCATGCTTTATAAAATACCAAACACTAAAATTTGTTATTTTTTTGCTTTTCAAGTCTCGTAGAGTTGTAAAAAATGATCAGAATTAATTAAAAAAAACAAAAAAAATTGATTAACGTCGAATATTGACAAAATTCGACGTTAAGTTAACGTTGTATATTAACTAAATTCCACGTTAATTTAACGTCGAATTTAAAAAATTAGATATAAATTTAACGTGTGACATCGTTCGTGAATTCGCCATTAAAAGCCCAAAATATTCAATGTTGTATGCGATTTTTGTACTAGTGATGACATTGTTTGGAGATTACCAAACTGTTGTCTAATACAAAAAGAGACAAAAATACCTAACAAGTATTACAATTGTTCAAATGGCAGGCATTACAAAAAGATACAATTGTTCTCATGTTGTCTTATACAAAACGATATAAAAAGATACATTAAAATTGTTCATTTATCCCCTTGAACTATAGCTTCATCCTGATTTGATGATGGCATCATTAGTTGAGTTGATGGGTTAGTTTGTTGTGTTTGGTGAGAGTTGAAATCAAGTGTCTATTTTGCTTTGGTGCAAGAAGTCCTGTTGTGGTCGAGTTCCTTACAAATGCCACATCTTTTCTTTAAACCACCCTTCCTCATTCTTTTGTCACCCTTGACCAACTCCTATTGCTCCAACCTTTGCTTCTTCTTTGGTCTCCCAGGCAATATTCTTTTTGGTGGACGGAGGACATCAGCATATGTGGTAATCTCCCACATATTGTTACCATTTATTGGATAGACAATTGAAGAGTATGTTTCTTCATATGTTGACTTCCTAAAGCAACATGGAATGAATTCCTCTGCATCAAGATTTAGGAATTTCATAGCAGCCAAGGAGTGGCAACATGGTATGCCAGTGATATCCCACTTCCTGCATGTACACAAATTTTCATCTAAATTTACTACAAACTTGTCACCAGCTTGGGACACATGGCGAACTTAAAAAATCTTGTTGGCTGACCAACTGTAAAGTCAAAACAATAAACACAATTTAATCATAAACCACTGACACATTTTAAAACAAATCATAAAACAACTTCCACATTCTTACCACGGTATCCAATATTTAGTTAACTGAGACTCCTTATTTAGTCTAGTCTTGATTTTTGGACAAATCTCCCCAAACAGTGATTGACTTTTTGTCCTGTTAGTTGCCCATCTCTTCATCAAGTAAAGACAGATTTCCTCCAACATGCCTACGATTGGCTTAGACCTTGTATGCACCGTTACACTATTGAAAGCCTCTGACATGTTGTTAACCAAAGTATCACACTGAGGGTTGCTGCTAAATCTTGATCTTGACCAGTACCTACAACAAATATACGTTGATCAATATTAGTGTTCAAAGCTGGCAGATTTTTAACAATAGAAATTTAAATACAAACTTGGGAGGGATTTTTAACAAGTATTTGAAAGCCTCATCATTAAGCTGTTTTGTATTTCTCATTTCTACTTCCCATGCTTGTGGATGGGTTGTTGTAGCTGTCTTCCATATCAAACGCTTTAGTTGTTTTTCAGGGAATTTCTTTCTGAAATTAGCGTATAAGTGTCTAACACAGAAACGTTGATCAACTCCAGGGACCACTTCTTGTACAGCTTGCAGTAGTCCCTATTGAATGAAATTATGACAGTGTTGTTAGAGATATGATTTCAATATGAATGTTAATTAACACAATCGGGGGATAGGTCATGTGCATTACCTTTTGCTGGTCCGACATGAATGTAAATGATGAACTTACTTCCTCCCATCGAGATCTTCAACCAAAAGTTCAAGGAACCATCTCCAAGTATCCTTGTTCTCTACTTCCACCACAGCATACGCAAGAGGTAGCATTTGGTCATTTGCATCTCTACCAACAACAGTTAACATTTCACCACCATATTTTCCTTTCAGAAAAGCACCATCCAGTCCAATAATTGGCTTGCAGGACACAAAACTATCCTTGCAGACCTTTAGACATGTATAAAACCTCCTAAAAATGTGTTCACCCACGTTCTCTTCAACTTTGACCTTCACTGTGGATCTTGGATAAAACCTCCTAAAAATGTGTTCACCCAAAAAAAACAAAGACGTCATATGCATAAAAAAACATGGAAAAGGAGCTTCAGACCTCTTGGACCAGTCATAGCAAAAATCTGATTAGACTGAACCAATTGAGTAATCCCTCAACTAAAAACCTCCTCAGCCAAACAAAAAATAAGAAAACAGATCTCCTTATCTGACACCTCTTCCACTAAAGCAACATTTTATGAAAATCGAAAAACAGTTCAAACATTTAATCAGAAAATCCCAACTGAGAGTATCAAATGCTTTGGAAATTTCAATTTTAAACACTATATTACCTCTTTTCACCTTTTTTGACAACAAATTTATAGTCTTTGAAATTAAACATATGTAGTACTTAATCTGACTACCTTTTAGAAAACTATTTTGATTAGTAGAAACAATAAGATATCTAATATTTAACAAATCTTAACTCAAGATCCTTAATGATAATTTATCTTAGTCTTCAATGTTATATTCAAAAAATTATATTTTAATATAAAATATCTAAAAAATATACTGAGATTGGATCTAAATAAAGCCTAACTAATTTTCCATCTGTGTCAACCAACACAATATTTAAACATTAATTGTTTATCGTACAGCTAAGGGTGATTTTAGCTTCAAATTCAATCCACGCATAACTGTTTCAACTGAAAAATACACTAACTTCTAGGATCAAAATTTGATATTAGAAACTACAATCAATTATGGTAGATGATAATGTTGAGAGTTCGAGTAACACTTTTTTCAATAGGAAATTAATCCATTTTAATTTTAGAAGAATAAATCAATGTATTACTCAAGTTAAGCTCATCATGTTACTATAGCAACAATAGACTATATAGATAAAATTACATTTTATTTATTTAATCCCCTTTTGTTTTTGGGGCAAGGTTAGATTTAAATGGCTAAATATAAATTGAGATGCATACTCATATTAACCTTATATATATATATATATA